CTCTCTCTCTCTCTCTCTCTCTCTCTCTCTCTCTCTCTCTCTCTCTCTCCCTCTCTCTAGTTTTGTTGACATTATTAATTATACCCTGTTTTTACAAAAAAAAAATTTATTTTGTAATTCTAGATAAAACTAAATTTATATACCAATTTATATCTGATTAGATTAATTAAACAAAATTTTTATTACAAAGTGTTTTAATAACTTCTTAAAATTATTCTTGCTCAATAAAATTTGTTTAAAAGTTATTTAATGCTATTATTATTTATCTTTATTGTTTTATGTTCAATAATTTTTAAATATACAACATAAAACGTAATCATTACAGCCGAAAGAAATGGTCCTGATTATTTTAAATAATTTAACATATTATTTAACTTTAACTCAAGCCCATAGTAACAGTATTATAGGTTTGTAGCAATATACCAATAGTATATCATTCAATTATATAAATTAAATATATTACTTAATCCATACCCACTCATTATAAGTAACTTATATTGCATTCCTAAGTAATTATTAAATTATATAATTATATATTTTAAATTAAATGCATAATAATATTGAATTTAAATCATGTGAAAATTTATTCAACGACAAACTTAAAATGTCAACACAAGTAAATTAAATCAACATAATTAACATAGATTAAATTAATACAAACGACCATTGTACTCCATCATATTAATAAATAAATCAAAATTATGATAAGGCGGAGGCCGGTCATCACCAGAACTACCAACAGGGGCAATTGTGTTATTATCACCCAGACCATGTACCATTGAATTATTAAATTTGACTTGTTTACTAACGGCAACATCTCTATAACCACCATTATCAATCAACTGATCATTCACATAGATGTCGGTAACCTGGGGTATTTTATCATAACCATCTACGCCTAACTGACCCGTACCCACATAACTCACATCATGTGCCAACCCTTGCGCATACTGTTGCGGCTGACCCTCATATATAAGGGTATACCCCTCATCGGGAAATCCCTGTACGTACTCATGTGATTGACCCCCAATACCCGCATAACTATCGGTGGCTAACGGCTGAACGTACTGTTGTGGTTGACCCCCATTAACCTTACTTTCGCTATGCTGTGGGCTATAGTCGGGCGCTTGGAGTTGGGGTCCATTGGTTTGTGTGCGTACGGTGTCGTACAGGCGCCGCAACTGGGGGTCATTGGCGGCCACCTGCGGGCTAGCGGTGGGCTCGACCATGAAGAATGTGTGCCCACCACCGTTCATGGCAGCCGTCATGTTGGTGAGCCTGGCCATTTTGATACGATTACAGTCGGCCGCGAACACAAAGGCCAATATACTAACCCCGATGTTAATTATAAATGATGGCAGATAGGCAACGTGGCGGATGACCAATGAAAAGCTTGATAGAGTTGCCAGGGTCATTAGTATGGCGTAGGTTATGGATAGGCCAAAGTGCTCGCGGTATACGCCGATTATACCGATGGTTGGTATGACAAAGCATATTAAGGCGATTGTGATGAAAAATGGTATGAAAAAGCCCTAGGTGTAAAAAAGTGAGCCAGTTTAGTTAATTATATACTGTACTCTCTCTCTCTCTCTCTCTCTCTAATACGGCTTTGGGAGTATTATCGCGATTATAGAAATGATCTGGATAAAAAGGCTCACCTGCATGTCATGGAGATCAGACACACGAGCTCGTTCAAATGCAAAAA